TTTATTGATACAAATTCATTCTCTTGATGTATTAGTACACCATGTAATTCTATCATTTCTGTCAAATAAAGCTAAGTTACCATCATTTTACATGATAAGAGTAAAAGGACCCATACCTTAATTTAAGGTATCGCTATCCCACAATGTGGCATTACGATAATCTTAAACTCTCATTGAGCCGTTACTTTCAAGTACCAAGCAATTAGGTGCATTTCCTTTTTTCTTAGTCATAGATTACCAAATACAGCTGTAAGGACTGAAGTTTTAATTAGTAGAAATTACTAAATTACCATCTGCTTAAACTCCTGCATAATACTTCTAGTTTTAAGAAACCAACCATTTGTCTTATTCTAATCTGCTACCCTATTTCAATCTATCTTTTGTGTAATTACCATGATTGTTGTTGCACTTAGGTTAATCAGTAACAGGGTAATTACTTTTAGTATTTGTATTCCATGTGACATTTTTATTTCTATCAAACAATACTAAATTACCATCATTCTGCATGATAAGAATATATGGACCAGTACCTTAATTAGTAGTATCTGATTACCACAATACAGCATTACGATATTCTTTTATTTCCAAGTTACCATTTGAAAATAATGCCAATTTATGAGGAGCAGTTCCCTATTTTTTGTTCATTGATGAAAATGTGCAAATACGCTAGTTATTAACTAAAGAGAAAACTACTAAGTTACCATCTTCTTAAATTCCTGCTTAGAATTTTTAATTTTAGGAAACTAGCCACTTGTCTTGGTCTAATGTTTTGCCTTATTCTAATCTATCTTTAGTGTAATTAGGATGGTTATTATTACACTATGTTTAATCTTAACTAGTATTTTATGACTAGCCATTAAATTAAGGTGGAGGAGGCTAGTTACCAAATTATTAGGGAGGAGGAGGATATTAACCATAAGAGCCTTGTTGAGCATTGGGGGGATAATTCTGTGGAGGATATTGCTACTGGGTTTGAGGAGGATATTGTTAATATCCTTATTGTTAAGGAGGATATTGT